GGGGTTCTGGGGGGCGGGAAGTGGAGGGGCAGGGGCGGGGCTAGGGCGGGGCTCCTCCCGTCCTCTTTTTTTCTTGCCGAAATATGGTAACCCTACCAATGCCCCAGTATGGTGCTAAGGGGCTCTGTGCTGCAGAGTGGGGGGCTCAGTAAGAGGTGCCGTGTGGCATGGAGTAGGGTGGGGGTTCGGCAGCAGGTGTCTTTTTGCCCTTGGTGCTCAGACAGGGGGGTCTCTAACCTTTGTGCCTCTCTTCCCCGCCCCTAGGTCCCCGTGGTGGCCCTGGGGGTCCCAACATGCCCCCAGGTCCTGGCATGCCTGGTGGGCCCAGGATGATGGGCCCTCCCTCTCCCCAGCAAGGCGAGTTCTGGGATCCCCCTGATGGCGGAATGCGAGGAAACCCCCAGGGGGGTATGAGAGGGGGTGGCCCCGGCCCAGGGCCCGGCCCAGGCCCTTCCCACCGGGGGCGAGGTGGGGAGCCCCCCTTCCAGGGTCATGATGGAGGCTACAGAAAAGGTAATTGCAGGGGGCTTGGCTTGCCCTCTAGGGGGAGCAGAGGGCCATGGCTTTGAAATGGCCCTGCCCCTTTGTGGGAGGGGCCTGTGAATGCCCCCTCCACTCCCCCATTTTTATCCAGCAGGTGGCGTGGGCCGATGGGAGAGACCCAGCATCCATTGCACCCATTCAATCCTGCAGGCCCTGCTCCTTGCAGGCAGGGCCCAGAGTGGCAGAGAGCCCCCTGTAGGCCTGTGAGAACAAGGAAGACAGTTTCAGCTGCAGCATTGCATGCTGGGAGCTGTAGTTTCTTCCTCATCCCCATCCCTGCTCTGCCACCCCTCTGGCCATGCCCTGCCATCGTGGCTGACCTGTGCCCCGTTTTCTCTCACGCAGACATGTCGAGCCGCCCCGTGTGTCGCCACTTCAAGTTGAAAGGCAGCTGCAGGTACGAGAACAACTGTGCCTTCTACCATCCCGGAGTGAACGGGCCGCCCCTGCCGTAGCGCCCGGGGCCCTCCCCCCAGCCCGCCGACGTCCTGTGAAACCGCCCAACACAGCCGCCCCCGCTTCACGGACTCTGGGGTGCCAGCTGTCGGACTTGGGCTGCGGCCACCACTTATGGCTTCTGTGGGGCCTTGTAACACCCGGGGGGGGGAAGGAGCAACCCCCCCTGACGGCTGCTGCGACTGAGAAACCACTGCACTGGGAATTTCCCCCCGCCACTCTGCTCCCTCCTGTGTTTTAACATGATGGTGGCGCTGATGGGACATGACTCCGCGCCCCCCCAGTGACTTTTTGCAAGCACAAGAGCTGTTGCCTGCTCTGGGATCTGGGGATGAGGGGGGCAAAGCGGGTTGTTAACACTGTGTATATCTCTGTGGAGCCAGCAAAGGTGTAAAGGGGGGGGTTGCCTGGCTGCCCTACCCGGCTCCGGGCTGCGATCTGTCCGCAGGTTCGCCTGCTGCAGAACTATTCTGAAGACATTTTGGCTGGGAAGCCTTGGCCCTGGGGAGCAGCCGGCCACACTGCTCGGCTCCCACAGAAATACTGCCCTCCTCGGGCACGTGGTCCGGAGACTTCTCCTTCCATCTGGCAGCAGCAGGATACCAGTCCTTCAGTTGGGGAGGAGAGGGGTCCCTTAACCACTGCCCCCCACCCACTGAGCAAAGGGGGTGCTTGTTAACTCCACCCCCTCAATGGGGTCATTGTAGATAAATCTCTGCATTAAGCATCTTCACACAACTTTCATATGACTTTTTGTATTATGTCTCTTTATATAACCTTGTATTAAGCCTATCCACATATAACCTCTATTTTCATACAACTGTGTATCAAGTCCTTTGATCTAGGAACTTTGTATCAGATCTGTGGGAGAAAACAAACCTTCACTCTGCATTTGTAAGCAACAAGGCAGAGACAGTTTATTCAAGCAATTGCAAGGGAAGATTGCAGTTGGACGGGGGGGTCCCCTTGCCCTTAGCAAATCTTTGAAAAACAAGCAATTTAAGACAAGTATTTATACACTCCCATTACGTCCATCAACGGCCAACAGCTGTGTCCTGTTTATACATTTTTCTTTCTGATATTTTACTTATTTCAATGGTTCCTGCTAAAGTCAGCATTCCATTTTTATCTGAAGGCAAGGCTAAAACAGCATCCCTTGCACTTTCCCACTTGCACAAGTCCTGCTGTTACACGTCTTGCGTTATTAGGGTTAGGGTTAGCCTGACTTTTGCTCTATCTTTAACAAAACTAAGATGGCTGCACTTAAATCTCCTTTTTTGCTTTTAGCACAACTATTTTTTTAAACCTTTATTTTTATTAGATCTTGTATTTTTGATTTTAAATTAAATGGATTAGCCTTATAAGCTTTGGATGTAACGATAATGTGTGATTAGTATGGACATGGAAGGTATTTTTGTTGTTACGTTTTTTACAACAACAATAACATTTCTAAACTAAACAAAAGCAATAAGTATTAACATTTCTATTGTAATAATATGATGGGGTTGTTTTTTAGCCTTAGTTACGTAACACAATACATTATAATTAGCACACAAGGTAGATACTTTATAGGTAGTATGAAAAGCGTGTTTTTTAATGTGATCTATATTTTGAAGCACATGGATTTGACCTTGTAATTTAGAGATTTTTTTTTTAACCTTTTGGTAGGAGTGAAAGTGGGTTTTGGAATTGGTCGGATATTCAGATGGTTCAATTAAAAGGTGTTTGAAACCTAAGGGCTAATTGTAGGACTCTATCCACAGGCCAATAGATAATATGATTTTTCCACAGCAGTGGTGAGATTAAAATGTATGTCTTGCAAAGTGGTGGCCTTAACATTTACACAGCTGTTATTAGCTTGGAAGAGCAGGTGTTTTGTTAGGGGAGTTTTTTGTTCCATACCCTTCCAACAAACGTTGTTCTGGACCGTGACAACTTTTTCATGCTTTAGCTCTTGTACACGTTGAAACTGTGCAGGTTTTAAAGGCCAAAGTGTTTAATGGCTTTTCAGTGGGTGTTATTTTAGGAGCACTGACTATAAATTGGCTAGGCATACCAGGTGGTTTAATTATTTAATTTCACGTGCATTTTTTTCACGGACCCAGCAGGATTTGATAGGTGGGAGCCCACACCACTTCAACCGGCCCATATGCTTGGAAGGAGCACTGTGAGTACCTGCACTTTTACCCTGAAAACCTCCAAGTATGTCTCCATGGCCACAAATTAGATGGTAATCCTGAAGCATTAGTAAGGGCAGTGGGCCAAGTCTGATGCTTAAGATTACTCTGAATGGCCATGAGCTGGTCATTTAGGAAATCCCAAATCTCTGGACAGACCTGGTCTCACGACAACTTCTTTTCCGCCCCAGTGATATTCAGTACCATCTCTGTTAGCAGTTCCTGGGTCATCGAACTAAGGGCGGAGATAACCCAGGTGCAGGCTGAAATTGGTAAATTACATGTTAACTGTGCTCAGTAATAAGACGCGTGGCTTTTTTCGGCTGCCGTAGTTTTTATCATGTAATTGGGTAACCAAATAACAATAAGGACCCCTTTTATCTGACATACTACAGACCCCGGGAATGGCAGTTATATTAACCCTGCTATGAAACCCACTAATCTTAATTTTGGATTCTTGAGGCTCATTTGTAGTGATATTATATACTTTTATCTTTAGTGACCCGTCTGTTTTTCACTTAATTGTTCGCTCATGTGGGATATTCTGAACCTTTAAATATTTTTTTGAAAAAAAAAAAATTTTAATAGATTACTAAGGTGTGAAGGCTTTGGCCATTGGGCTTCATTAGAATATATGGTATTGTCTGTATTTGGGTATGTTACATGGGGTGGTAGTGGAGAAAATGGCGGGGGCAGTCGCAGAAGGTGCCTTTGGTATTTGTTATCTGAAAGCCAATTAGGGAGAGCAATACATGTTGAAGGTACTTGGCCAAAAACACAGGGCGCAGCCTGTGGAATAAACCCCAAAGTTCAAGGGGAGAGGGATAGCTCAGTGGTTTGAGCATTGGCCTGCTAAACCCAGGGTTGTGAGTTCAATCCTTGAGGGGCCACTTAGGGGTCTGGGGCAAAAATCAGTACTTGGTCCTGCTAGTGAAGGCAGGGGGCTGGACTCAATGACCTTTCAGCTCTATGAGATAGGTATAATCCCAACCATGGGTCCCACAAGTTTCTCCCTGCCAGTGTATAATTTTGTATTTATTTATTTATTACCAGGGCCAGTTTTTAATGTTTTTTGTAGTCAGGAATCCCTGGACTTTGGCAGTTTCAGCGGAGCGAGCATTCCTTCTTTCCTGGAGCAGTCATGGTTTAGTACCATGCAGGGGAGAGGTTACCAGCACCTTATCCTGTGGTATTTTGGGTTTTTTTTTAGCAGATGTTGGATGTATGGTGGTTTTGTCAGTGGACAAGGGAGAGGTTACTAGGACTTCACCTTGTCCTTGTCTCCTGCTGTCCAGAAGGAGGAAAAGAAGTACCAGCAGAAGAGAGAGACTGATCCGCAGTCGGAGTGGGATTATCTCGAGGCGGAGGGACCTTTTTGCAGTGAGAAGCATGGGTCCAGGCAGTCAGTCCTTGGCACCTCACAGCGGTGTTGGTAGTTAGCAGGACTTGGTAAGGGCCTTTCCAGCGTGGGGCCAGAGCAGTCTTTCGCTGATGGACCTTTACGTAGACCCAGTCTCCTGGTTTTAACGAATGGCAGGGTTGCTTAGGGTCCTTGGGTAGTGCTTCTTTCACCTGTGAATAAAGAGACCTAGCACATTTTATTAATGCCTGGCAGCAATTAAGCTTTGTATTACAATAAAGGATTTTGCAGGCTTAAAGCAGCAAGAGCGGCCCCACCACTCCTGTTCAGGGTGTCCCTGGGTTCTCGCTATTACTGCCTGTCCAGGTATTTTGCTGGGGCCCCTCTGTGGCAGTCTAAACCAGCTTTCTGTGGTCTTTTTAAGGTTTCCAAAACAACGCGGTTTCAGGGACACGAAGCTCGGCTCCCCCTTTCACTATTTTGTCTGGTTTTTATTTTTGCAGCCCCTAAACTTTTTCTTCTGCTGGCCTTGCTCTTTTGCAGATTTGTGCAGCTGGATTTCTCCTTGTAGGGCCACTTGGGCACATTCAAACCCCCCCTCTTCCTTGCCTGATTAGCCAAGTCTTGGCTGTGAGCAGTGTCCTTGGGCAGGGGCCAGTGTCTTATCTTCAGACTGAGCTTGCTAGCTGCAGTGTTGAGTTAACTCATTCTCTGGGTTATCTTTTTTCTCCTTTTTGGCTTCTTGTAATCTACAGAGGAAACTTTCACTTTTCACCTACACACCTTTTTTAAAGAATTAACACATACACATTGCCCATTATACAGTACTTTAGCCTTACTTAATTTATGCCACATACACCCTTCTAGTGAAATGTATTTATTATAGCACTTTGGAGCAACAAACCAGGACAAGCACACCCACTTTTGAGGAGTCCACTGGGTACAACCTCTGGTGTTTAATAGCTTTTCTTTCTTCCCAACCCTCTGGCTTGAGATCCAGGGTAGCCAAAAGGATCCCATGTGCAATATGGGGAATAGGCTAACTTTTTATGTCATTACTTCTAAAGTCTGAAGGTGTGTAATTTTAACAACAATTTTTTCAATTAAAAGGTCTGGCCAATTAATTTCTTTTTACTTTAGCAAGTGTATTAGAACTTGTGACAAAAAGTTCCTCCTCTATCTTGGTGGGTCCTGCACTTATTGGCAGATTTTCTTGCCTCAGATATTCACCATGTGGGTTGGGGAACAGCCCAGAGACCTTCCACTCTGGAAGAACACACAGTCCAGGTCAATTGGGAGGTTTGGGGGGAACCCAGGCCCACCCTCTACTCTGGGTTCCAGCCCAGGGCCCTGTGGACTGCAGCTGTCTATAGTGCTACCTGTAACAACTGCATGATAGCTACAACTCCCTGGGCTACTTCCCCATGGCCTCCTCCCAACACCTTCCTCCTAGTGTCTGATAACACTTGTACTCCTCAGTCCTTCAGCAGCACATCACACCCACAGCTTCTTGCTCCTCACACCACAAACTGAAGTGAGCTCCTTTTAAAACCCAGGTGCCCTGATTAGCCTGCCTTAATTGATTCTAGCAGCTTCTTCTTAATTGGCTCCAGATGTCCTAATTAGCCTGCCTGCCTTAACTGGTTCTAGCAGGTTCCTGATTACTCTAGTGCAGCTCCTGCTCTGGTCACTCAGGAAACAGAAACTCTGTCTGACCTGGGAATCATAGATCACTCTTCTGTAGCCCTCTAGCCTAGTGGGAGATAGGGGACTGCTCCTCCTCTTTCTCTGCTACCTGCTTGCTGGCTGCTAGACCCACCCATACCCTTGGGTGCTCCTGCTCCAGCTACAGGCCCTTGGGGGGCCTACTAGCCCACTCCCCAGAGAAGAGGAGGGAGAGACTCCAATCATTGCTCCTGCTGCTGGGAATGCCGCCACCACCACCTCCACCTGAGAAGGGTCCTTCCTGCTGGCCACCAGACTGCCGCCTGGAGCTACTACATTTGCTGCTGGGGAGCTGCTGGAGCCCTGAGGAGAAGAAGAGGACCATCTGCCAGTGGGGGAGC